ACTCGACGGCACATAACAACAACAACAACAAAGAAGTAATGAGATTTATTCCAAGGCAGAGGTCAAATTTGGTAGTCAAAAGGTCAAATTTGGCATATAAACATCTTTAGTTTGGCCAGCATAAGGAATAAGGTGTCAACATTTAAAAAAAAAAATCATACTTCTGGGTTCACTTGAAATCTCAACAGCATCTGGCCACACTGGACTCACATTCCAAAATGGTACAGTGCACTGGCCCTGCCCTGATGTAGGGAATGTAGTCTCCAATTTACCAGTCCCCAACATTCCCTGCTATCTTTTCTACCTGGAGACTTTATTCAGCCCCAGCTCACTTCTTCATCTGCATTTCTCCTACCTGGCCCTCTGTGTGCACTTGAATTTGTGACTTCATTCCTAAGGGCTTCGAACCTGGCCCAAATGTCAGAAGCTACAAAGGTGCAGGATAGGGCTTGGCATGAGGCAGAGCTTCTTTGGAGTAAGAAGCTATATTGGACATCCCTTGTACTCTGGAGGTACACAAACTTGGGCCACAGAAACCTCCCTTGGCATGAAGTTTGTAGAGGGGATTTTAAGGCCCAGATGGTGAGTGAAGAGGAGTTTCTCCAAGCCTGTAATGCTGGCCAGGATCCCCAACTCCCACCACCTTCCCCTGTTACCTCATTTGTTGAGCAGAGAGCATCTGGTCCTGAAATTCCCTGGCTGGCCTCATTAAGCAGTTTATTGGGAAGCTTTTGTGAGCCCCAGACTCAGCAGGCATCCTAGCAACTTCCCCGGGTTCTAGAGTATACTATCAGATTTCCCTACTCCATCCCAACAGCTCCAGGTACAGTTAGTTGGCTAGTCATTTCCTGCCACCTGCTGGTTCAACTAGGAATAACAAGCCTTTTTTCCTGTTATTCCTAAGGAAATTTCCTTTCTTCCAGCTACACTGTGAAATTGATAATCTTCCAGCCAGTTAGGGCCTACAGTCCATACCTCCAACCTCTCCACTATCCTTTTTAGCAGATGAGGAAGGCAAAGAAAATTTCACCCAAAACCATATAGAAATTAAATGTGGTGCTTCCCCTTGTATAGCTAAGGTCCAGTGAAAAAACATCCAGGCCTCCCTCAGCCCTCAGCAAGGGCAGATTTGTATTGATATGCAACAGAGTCAGACCCAGGCCCCCTTTCAAGCAATGGGTCCAGTAATTTGGCTGGCTTCCCTCAACTCCTCAATTTGTCACTGGCACAAGCCTTCTACTGTCCCCAGACCCAATACACAAGTATTTATTGAGCTCCTATTTGCCAGGCACCACAACACATCCCCTTCCTCCCACATCTGCAATGGGGGTGTTGGACCACATTCATTCATTTGCCAAAGATTTTTTGAGCATTTATCTATGTCTCAAATGCTCTTGGTGCTAAAAATATAAGCTTGGTTTTCTTTCTTTGTTTGTTTTTTTTTTTTTTAAAAAAGAAAAAAGAGAGGGAGAACAATGTGGAACAAAACTCAAAATCATTTTTATTTTTTTTTATTTTTAAAAAAAAAAAAAGGAGGTTGGGACAAGTGAAGACAGAAAGTAAACATTTATTTTGTCAACAAATACTGAATTTTATATTAAGTGTTGAGGATGCAGTGAAGATGGCAGACTTTGCTTTGACTTTTATGGAGCTTACAGTCTAACAAATGTTAATCAAGGAATTATAATACAGTATGATAAACCACTTACTGTTGAGTCAATCCTGACTCATGGTGACCCCATGTGTGTCTGAGTAGAACTCTGTTCCACAGGGTTTTCAGTGGCTGATGTTTTCTAAATATATCACCAGGGCTTTCTTCTGAGGTGCCTCTGGATGGACTTAAAACTCTAACCTTTAACTTATCAGCCAAGGGTATTACTGTTT